TACTGTTGTTGTGTAACTTCTGATGATGTTTACATCCAAATTCATTGGACTGACAAAGTTAAAATGATGATCCAACCAATTACGATCTAGGAACAATTTCAGACATACACTGGCATCTGGTGCAGAATTTCCTAACAATATTCTGTACTATACAGTTTTTAGTTTAATTTCGAGCTACACCAAAATATGTTTAAACGACAACAAACAAATTTCATTCAAACATAACTTATGATGTAATTCTGATCCACGTCATTTCTCGCATGATTTTCAATTTACAAGTTTTTCTCGAAGTGTTGCAAACACCTTTCATGGATTTTTTCATTACGTCACTAACAAACAAATTTTCATTATTAAACACTGACTTTGCATTTTACATTTATACCGACTAATACAACGAGTAACAGGTATACAATTCATACTTTTATCAATTCTGCATCTTGATTCAAGGCAACTGACGTAGAACAAATCACTTCAAGTTCGTACGGCGGTAGATTAAAAACTAACCTAGACCCAAAGGCTTCAGCGGACGAATTTAAGCTACAAACTTATTTTATGTTAAAATTACAAATCTAAATCAAGATTCTGATATGAAGCAATTCTTTAAAGCTGAAGTTATAATTAAAGATCTTTGAAAAAATCAAAATGTTAGATTATTTCTCACTCTGGTCTTAAAAATCTTCTGATTACCTCGTCCTTATTGTGACAAACGTTCCTAATTACAAAAATGTTCCTTAGGCTCGGTGATGTTAAAACAGCAAACCAGTTTAAATTCTGAACTTAAACAACGTTCCTTTATCCTTCCGCGATGCAAGGCGTGAATATGAGATTAATTTTGAGGTGAATATAAACTGTAAAAAATAAGACAATAAAACAACATCTTAAAATATTTTTCCTTGAATGTATTTTCGTGTTATTCCAAAACCGCCAGAGTATTTATCATTCTTATATCTACCGCCAGTAACTTCGTAGGACTACTATAGTAGCCGTCATGAAATTGCGCGTTTCAAGGTCACAGCAAAATCACACAAATTTTCTATATGAACAGCTGGGCACAGGTCAATAAAGACAGCTCAGAACACGCAGCGTTGCGATTGTAGCAACGATGTTCTGGTGACCACCGGCCAGTAAGAGAGGTCGAAATCCTTCGGTGACCTTGAAAAATGCAATTCGGTGATGGCTACTATAGTGTGATTGGCCGTCAATATTTTATAAAATCAAATGGGGTCAGGTGATTAAAAAACGCTCGTGTAAGATAGGATACAAACTAGAGATCTTTCTGAATTACAAAAATTTTATAAAAGAAACATGCAATTTCAGTCTAAATAAACTAAATTTAGAATATAACCAGTGAGGTTATTTTTTTTATTTTATTTAGTGTTCTGTCTGACGACAGGTCCATATGAACAGGATCCTTCCATCCTTTTCTCGGACTGGGACCTGTTCATATACGTTCTTGGCAGATGATCCACAAGTGGTTTGCCATTGCCTTCTTCTGTGTGTGAATGGAGTAATTGTTGGGATGCCACGGAGGAAAACTCCGTGTTGCCTAGACCACGGCCTTGCCCAATACAAGTTATAAATTCGGGCACCGCCGGGAATCGAACCCGAGACCCCAGGATTACAAGGCCAGCGTTCTAACCCAGTGAGGTTAAAGCATATAAACAAATGGGATCAATAATATTAAAAAAAACCTTTTGTCTCACTGTAACACAGCGAAAAGTAAAGATATTCATTTTATCTCATTATGTAATAAGAATCTGAAGTTGTCAAAGAAATGAAAATGCGTGTCTATTCGTCCTTCCTGGCTTCCTGTCGCGATGAAGTGAATGGACGAGAGGTGGTATAGTGCGAAGTCCTTGCCAGATAGACTGTCCACCATAAATCTGAACAAGGTGTACAAGTATGTAGCTTGTTCAGTGGCGCCAGTCTGCCAGCACGATGCAAAGACTTAACACACGAATTAGGCATAAGTTATCACGCGAGGCGTGGCTTCAGACCCCTGATTGATTTTTGACTTAAATTTTGTACGCTTTCTCGATTGTTTTGGTAATTTGGCGACAAATGGTAGGAAGAACAGTGTAGAACAATCGACTTTAGTTAGTTTCAAAATCTTACCACCCGAAAGAGTATAACCTCAAAATATCTCAGACAGTGCATTTTTTTTAAGTTACCACGGCGTGTATGAAGATGAATGTGTTCTGGGTTGTTGGACCGTGTAGTCTGGTAGTAATGTACCGACGTTTCAGAGGTCCCTACTGCCTCCATCATCAAGACGAGGACATCAGAAACGTTGGCAAAGTTCTGCCAGACTACACGGCGCTCAAACCCAGAAGACAGCCACCAGAACCTCAAATCCTACTAAGAACTTGAATAAAAACATTTTTGTTTTGTTTAAAAAAAAGTTAACCCATACACTAATTAATTTCGTCAGAAAATAGGATAATTTATTTGATTACGTTTGGAATACACCAACAGAAATTAATTACTGATACGTGTTTTGATGAAAAAATGCCAAAACGTTGTTTATTAATTATAATGAATGTTATCCCGAATTATCTCGGGCCATTTTCCATACCTTGTAAAAATTAACTTCCGTAACACTTGTCGTAAGTTTGTTAACTGATGTGGCATTTACGTATTAGATTATGAAGATTATTCGCTTACGATTAAACGTAAAAAAATGTCATATTAAAGTACACCAGTCCGTCAATTACTGTCATCTAGAGCCTGATATGTGTATTTCTTTGCCTAATTAACTCCGTTCATTTCCTTTGGGATATTAGACAAAATATCAACTCCGGTTAATATTTCTTGCAAAAATCATAACCCGACATATCTCGGAATAATCAGGGAAACGGTTAAAAGTGAAACCGAACTCATTTCACATTGGACCATTCACAATTGTGAAGCCAGCCACACGCCAGTCGCCAAGATTTCTAATCTGTATCGCCCTAGGCCTCGGAAGGAGACTTCGGTACGGGAAATGAGGGTTGACATTTGGGAATTGTCCTTTTATGACAACACGTAATTTCAGTGAAAATTCTCTCAGAGCAGGAAAAGTGTGACACAATCGAACGCAATGACAACAAACAAGGATTCAGCTTTCAATTTTTCAATGAAATGTGATACAACTGGCGGTCCGCGGGGTCACATCCTTCCCGAGACAAATCTCGTCCTCTGCTTTACGTACAAATTCAAACGATCAAATCACAAAAGACCCTTTTCACACTCTCTTATCAGTTTTATGTGTCCCAAAAATACGTATACACACATTCAGTGAATGAAATAAAGACATTTTAATAAATTTAACCATTACATACATCAGCATTGGCGTTTAATGAATTAGCGAATCTAGTTGAAGTGTTCAAAATGACCACTGTTAGCTTTGGCACAGCTGACAGCGGTGAACAGTTGACTGACAAGCGGCGACCAAAGTTAATGCTGTGTATATATATTTTTGGAACACCTTACAGATACCACTTGATGCAAGAGATACCCCAAAGTACAAAGCGTAGCCCGAAATTAAATATAGTTAAAATCTGTTGTTTTTGACTTCACAAGTAAGCCTACACAGAAATTTGAATCGCTAATTTCAGTTTTATATTATTTTAAATTAAATTTGTTAATACAATGATGATTTAGACGTATGCAACAGATTATCATATCAGTAATCAACTCTTGCAGACGAATATGTACAAAATTATAATTTTACTTGTTTCCTAAAGGGGTCTTACTTGTTCTTTCAATGTAAGAGAGAAATACTAGTAGGAGTGTCCTTGAGAAAATATTGATATAAGGAGGGGAAAGCAAATGGATAATGGAGAAAGTTTAAAAAAAACCATAAAATCAAAATTTGTAGCTACACCGTTAAAGCGATTACACAGAAGAGGATAGAACGAAGGAAATAAGAAAATATACAAAATTTCTACCCGGAAACACTTAGCAAAAGAGACCGGGTGGGACAGAACAATACAAAATTTCTACCCGGAAACACTTAACAAAAGAGACCTGGTGGGACAGACCTAGACAGAAAGATTTCAAAGCGGATTTTAAGGAAAATGAAATTGCGAAGGTCTGGATTGAATTGAATCAGATGGAATCCAACGACGAGCATTTGTAACCATGACACCTAAAATAAATATTCGGATTACTCCATTGTTTTATGTGCAGAAAAATGGCCGTGCGATAATCTATGAGCCACGCGAATGTTCCAAAGGGTCTGACTGCTAACAGACGAAACACAGAACAAAGACTTCGTACCATGAAATCGAAACGCCTGTCAGAATTTGAGGAGAAACGTTGGTATAAACATGCGGGTGATGTTATTGTTTAGTTGTTTGTTATGATAATCCAATTAATATCATAACGTTAATTATCTAAAATGAAACCAATATTCCGTGCATTAAAATCTATCCGTAAAAATAAAACTGTAAGTGTGTGTGTTGGAATTCGAGATTTGCACCAAACTTGGCATGTTTATTTCTTGAGACCAGGAATAGATTTCAAAAAAAGGCAAAACTCCGATAAACTGTCACGAGTTTGAGTCCCAGTGAAGTTAATTTTTGTAGCTTGGAAACAAAAAACACGTAAAAAAATGCGCCCAAACAAAACATGTTTGTTTCTGTGAGGATATTACAAGAAATAGGTCACATATTCAAAATCTGTCCTGGTTTCGAGTCTCGGTGAAGATGTCGGATTTAGGGATAATTTTTTTTCTATTATATTCAACGATACGCATCAAATCGATTTCGAGCGATAAATATCGATAAGTGTTAGCATCTGTCGAAATCTCCGACAGTTAACGCTCTTGGTATTCTGCTAATCAACAAAATATAAATAAACTTTATCCCCTGAAAAGTATCGTTACACTTAGTAGCACAAATACACTGGGGAAAACAATTGCAATTGTTTTGATAATAAAGTTCTCCACATTTACGTAACTCAGGCAGGGTCAGATTGACAGACAGACAGACAGACTTAATACGAAAAATTGGACTTACCTTTACCCCTGTCTTCCTCTTTTTCGTTATTGTTATCACAAATTCCACTCAAGATCTCTGAAAGACAAGAAACAAGGTTCTGTGACGAACGTCAGTTTTAAACCACGGGGCCCAATCGCTTACAGCACAGAAAATTATTTTATTTTATTTTATTCTTCAATATATTTAAATATCTTGCAGGTTTCTTAACAACTACTTACATAACAATATTAATTAAGTGCGTAGTGTTAAATAGTATACGAATTAAGTGTTAAGAAAAGTTTTAATTTACTGAAAAACTAACAAAAATTCCAATTTAAAAATAAGTGTTACTGAACAATGTCATAAGTGCCCAGCACGTCCACTAATACCTGAATCTCACGTGTAAGTAAACAATATGGAAATATCGATGCAACATTCTCGTAATTCATAACACCAAATTCCACAATTGTTTATACAGTAAATCACACGCATGGGATTACATTGCGTCATGGACAATTTCAGTTCTCAATGTACCGGTCGTATTCAGTATCCCCCTTAAGAACACAATTTTAATTGATTTAATAAGATGAAACAGTTTATATTGGGTTATTTTAATAAGGAAAAATTCATATTATATAATAATGAATAATTTTATTATTAAATTAATTAACTTCAGTATTTATTCTTGTTTCAATTGCAACGAATCTCAACGCATGTTTTGTTATCCTGTATACGTTTTCTGTAAGAACAGATCAAATTTTCGAGTAATATATAACATTTTTTTGAAAGACACGTAACTCGCATGAATTAAATCACTGAGTTAAAATTAAACAGAAAATTTACTGAAGCGGTTAGGATAAAATACAGATATGGAATTCAACGTACAGGAACACTGGATTCAAGTTAGACTAATTCGAAGGCTAGGACCACTTTAAATGACGAACCTGTTGGATCCATCGTTAGAGATACCAGACGAGAACTTTACTGTCAAAACGGATCGACAAATCTATTTTTTTTTTTAGTATAGTGTTTACAAAACTCAATGTATCGGGGGCCAGAATTTATAACGATGCCAAAATTGTCAAATTCCTGGTGAATGGCATCTAAAATTCGCCGTGAAAAACTTCACGTGTAACTTTTCGTCAATAACACGACCTAACTGTTTGATACAACATAACGTTTTGGATCATTTAATATTTTAAAATTTATTTGATTTGCGTTCTGTCTGACGACAGGTCCATATGAACAGGATCCTTCCATCCTTTTCTCGGACTGGGACCTGTTCATATACGTTCTTGGCAGATGATCCAGAAGTGGTTTGCCATTGCCTTCTTCTGTGTGTGAATGGAGTAATTGCTGGGATGCCACGGAGAAACCGGGGAAGCCCCCGGAGGAAAACTCCATGTTGCCTAGACCACGGCCTTGCCCAACACAAGTTATAAATTCGGGCACCGCCGGGAATCGAACCCGAGACCCCAGGATTACATGGCCAGCGTTCTAACCGCTAGACCACCGTGGCGATATTTTATAATATGGTAATTAAATAAATAAATAAAACGACTCATAAAACACGTATAATTAACACATCTGAGCGAAAATACGTATAAATGGAGGTGCGTTTAAAAATATGATTGTAAGAACTTGTCTCTTTGGCGGAGCGGTACGGATGCAGAAATAATGTGACGAATTTCCTACCAGGTCTCAATATGATAAATAGATTCGTCCCTCCGGGCTCCCTTTCATATTTAGCCTCATGCCGAATGATGTCAGAGCTCGGAAGTTGGAAGTTGGACTGAGTGTCGCGGAGAAGAAGGAAGGTAATCCAGAGAGACAGAATCCTCTCGGAGTGTAACGACAGAAATTCGGTACAACGGACAGCATTATCAACCCTTTAAGGCCATATGGTAACTATAGGTACCACCTACTGCAGAAATTAATAATTCCTCACTTTGTATTTATGAGTTTTGTATGATTACCTTCGTAAATTGCGATTACTTCCTTAAACAACATCAACCATTTGACTTTTATAATAGTAAAGAGTTATCATCACAACGTTTACTGAGATAAAGATATCGTAAAATTGCCCTAAGATCTTAATTAAGCACCACATCATGCAGACACATACTCCGTGGCTCGAAGGTCCTTGAAGGACCTTGTCTGTTTCACATATGTGAGGTTACTTAAGTCATTTAGACTCCTTGGACAATTATCAGACAGTCGCAAGGCCTCAACCTACACAGAAAGACGAAGACAAATATAAATGCCTTGAGCGAGAATCGAACCCACGATTCCAGTGTCCGATCGATCGGGGGACCACGCCCAACATCGCGTGGATATTGTGATAGTCCATGCTGGCACATGGTTAGCTTCACGCCTCGGCCGCTTTACCCACGAAGAAAGGACACCAGTATCATTGGATAGTAGGCCGAGTGTGCCCCAGAGACGGACTGGGAAACGATCAATTTAATGACTACAAAATGGCTTATTCTTAATTAAGAGGTAGCTTATAACATAAAAATACCCTCGACGAAGCTGTAAGACCATAGGCAACAGGGTGGCAACCTCACAACTGAAATTACCCTACGCTGGTAATTTACCCTGAAAACATTACTCAAAAATACTTCGAAGAATAGATAAGCTAGAACTGTTACGTTTCGAAATAAATAATTATGCCTAATCCTAAACAGATCCTAATGATGAGAAATCCACAGAACAGATCCAAAAGCCTTCGAAACGATTTATTGTAGCTGACAAGTTTTCAATGTTCTGTGATTGTAAGAGGTAAGAATTAGTAATGTTCAGTAATTTAACCTTGGACATGAATTATTTGTGGCGTGAAGGGAACTGCAGAACGCAACCAGAAAACCTGTTACATGACCATGGAAGCGCGGCCACGTTGAATCAACGCAACGCCAAAGATCATGAACAAACCGACAGAAATAAAGACTATTTTTATTACTATATTCAAGTACATTTAAAACCAAGCAAGCTACAGTATCACAACGCAGGCAAAGCACCAAGATCGGCAATGAATTCTGTGCAAATGTCAAAACCCGTAAGGTAAATTACAAACTCTTTAGACCATCATTTTTCACGACATGTTTCAGTTCCTAAAAGAACTATCTTCAGGTGTATATAATTATATAAAGATTCAAATCAATAATAACTTAAATACAATTTCTATATATTATTTTAGCGTACATTTTTATCAGATTTTTATCAGATATCAAACGATGTTCTTTTCCAGATTTGATATCGTTTGATATCTGATAAAAATGTACGCTAAAATAATATATAGAAATGTTAATTATTGTAATATTTTAATATTTAATAAGAATTTATTGGTATAGACGGACAAGATTTAAAATATATATATATATATATATATTATATCACAATATGACGCAACTTTACCATCTTACAAACTCTTTGTTTTTCTTCAGAGCTTGGCAGGCAATGTGTAAACTCAGACTTAACAAACTGAAACAATTCTGTGTCTCATAATTATGTTCTTCTGCCAGAGTCTCGTAGAAACATATTATTTAATCCCTGAAGATGGAAACAGTATGTTTATCCGAAACTTTGATATCTACCGGCGAATTTACACGGTGCAAAAAAAAACCCAGAAGAACATAATCTTCCTTATCACCATGAAAACGTCAATCTTTACAGGGTCTGTGCTTGTTCGTACACGCATTATATACACGTTAGGTTAGGTTAGGTTATGTTATGTTAGGTTAGGTTAGGTTGGGTTAGGTTAGGTTAGGATAGGTTAGGTTAGGTTGGGTAAGGTTAGGTTGGGTTAGGTTATGTTATGTTAGGTTATGTTAGGTTGGGTTAGGTTAGGTTAGGATAGGTTAGGTTGGGTAAGGTTAGGTTGGGTTATGTTATGTTATGTTAGGTTATGTTATGTTAGGTTATGTTAGGTTAGGTTACGTTACGTTACGTTAGTTAACGCTACGTTCATCCTATTAACACTTTTCTAGGATATAAGTACAATACATAAGAAGAGTATTAACCATAAAATCAAAATATGTTCATTCCACAATCAGTCTTCTATATAAAATAACAGCTGACAAGAGTTAAAAATATATGTGTAAGAAAATCCAGTGTTAAACTGAGCAAACAGATAACAGAAACATTAACGAAAAATCATAGTTAAACAATAATTCCTATTAGAAGAACATCGCTAATTTCTAGCGTCCGCCAGTCTAAGATTCAACGAGACACAGTTGAGGAGAACAGATCTGTTCAGAGAGAGTTTCCGTCGCGTAAATGTACCTGTAGTCTAAATATGTGAACACAATTTTCGCTCAGAAACGTAGTATGAAGAATAAACTCAAGACCTCCCGATTATGAAGATCAGCCATTTAACTGCTTTAGTTAAAGCTCGTCTAAATAATATTTAAGAACACAGTCCTTACCGCAAAGAAAACACCATTACAAAGACCAACTGCTTGATGCTGTTTAAGAGAAGTGATCGCTGAATATTGTTATAACCATAAATACAAAGTTAATTAATGTTAAAGCAGCCGGTACAGATAGATAGCACTAGGGCTTAAAGGATTGATAATTCATCCATCTATTGATAGACCTTATTTAAGATCAATAATTAATCTTTTATTTTCCTGACTGTGGCCGAATTATCGAGGTATTTTTGTAGTGTTCTGTCTGACGACAGGTCCATATGAACAGGATCCTTCCATCCTTTTCTCGGACTGGGACCTGTTCATATACGTTCTTGGCAGATGATCCAGAAGTGGTTTGCCATTGCCTTCTTCTGTGTGTGAATGGAGTAATTGTTGGGATGCCACGGAGGAAAACTCCGTGTTGCCTAGACCACGGCCTTGCCCAACACAAGTTATAAATTCGGGCACCGCCGGGAATCGAACCCCAGACCCCAGGATTACAAGGCCAGCGTTCTAACCGCTAGACCACCGTGGCGTCTATTATCGAGGTATAATAAAATAAATTCGGAAGCTCCACATCACCCCAACCCCTCCTTTAACCCGCTCATTTGCAAACTTCTTGTTTGTATTCAGCAGAAATTAAAATATAGCATCCATCTGCTATTGTAATCGCCCAAGAGTTCTTCTATTTCTCAAGCTCCCACGTTATTTGAAAAGGTGTGTGTTTGTGCGTGCGTGCGAGAATGGAAAGAGGGGAAGGGGGACCGAAGTTCTACCCTGGGTGCTAGCCAAATTTCCTTCTCTCCCCCATTTACCGCCCTTGCAAGATTTTTCTAACTGCTCTACTTAGGTTTTTGGAAGAACTCACCCATCGATCAATACGTTCTGCGTTTATCAGGGATTGATTTTTTGTGTGTGTGTGTGTGTGTGTGATATATCGCAAACACAAGGGGCAGAAGATTACTGCTTCCTTTTTTAACAGAAAATAGCCACAGGTTATTCGGTAAAGAAGTTGCAAGATTCTTCGTTAAACGCCCAAAAACCTAACCTCACTTTCTAATGAACTCACAGACACACAAAATGACTCCGTAATGCATCAAGGCAATTATGAAGTACAGATCTGTATTGAACATGCGAAACCTTTCTAAATTATCAAAATTAAAGACGACTTCTAGACTCTAACAATTCTCCGCTTTAAGAAAATCTAAGGTTTAAGTCCTGTTCATAAAATCCATACTTCCTGCCTTGTCCTAGACAAATCAAAACTCAGTTAACACATTTAAATACTTTTAAATCCATCCACAGCTAAATGTTTTGAGTGGTATCTTTCCTTAAATGTTATGGCTAATATTTTGTACGTATGTCCAATTTACTCATGCGTGCTATATGTCCCATGCATTTAATAATAATTCAATTCAATTCATTTATTAAAGTGCTTGACAACAGCCGAAAAGGCCAATAACAGCCAAGAACTAACAACAAAACAAATCTTACAATACTAAAGCAAACAAACAATGAACTGAATATATAAAGTACAATATTAATTTATTGCAAAATAATTAATAAGTAAATGAGCTAATTGTTATGGATAAGTAAATTAAAAATTAAATTAAAATCAGTTAAATTTTGGACAAACAACATACAAAATAAAATATTATTAATATAATAATAATAATAATAATAATAGGTAAAAATAACAAATTAAATTTCTTCCGGGTTCAATTCCCGGTGGTGCTCAAATTTATAACTTGTGTTGGGCAAGGCCGTGGTCTAAGCATCACGGAGTTTTCCTCCGGGGGCTTCCCCGGTTTCTCCGTGGCATCCCAACAATTACTCCATTCACACACAGAAGAAGGCAATGGCAAACCACTTCTGATCATCTCTGCCAAGAATGTATATATGTATGAGCAGGTCCCTGACAACCTGAAGAGGATGGAAGGATCCTGTTCATGATATATGGACCTGTCGTCAGACAGAACACTACAAAAATAAATAAGTTTGCATCATAACTTCTTATTCACTCTTTGCCAGCTCCAAATATTACCGACGTCAAAGATTTTAAGACACTTAGTAATAAGTTTTCAGAAAAAAAATTACAATACGAATTTCAAATATTCAAAGATAAAACTTCTTTGTATTAATGCGTCCAGAGTCTTCTAACACGCTACTTCTGTGTTTACTGTCCCACTCCCTTGATCTTTAGTGATACAATAATTATATCGATAGTCGATTCTTAGTCGCCATCAAATGATTTCAGAAATTTTAAAATGTGAAATTTTGCATCTAAAAATCGAGGAAACACGTATAAGAAAACCCTTTATTAAAACGTACAGAACACGTATTTCCATCTGAATGAAATAAATAATAACGTATCTTCGGCTTACAAGTTACAGTCGTGAATAAAATTCTAGAAAATTTTCTGAAATTCTACGTCTTTAAGTCTCCCTTATGTCTAAACGTTTTAAAATCGTTCCACACGCCAGTAGTCAATATCACCTATAATTCTCACGTAGCGTTATACGAAATGTTTCTAATTTGTATCGAGACTGGGACAAAGATGCCTTTCCTTACGTTTAGCGTTTTAAATAGTTGGCATGATTTGTTGAAAAACTGCTTTCATATCTCGTTTTCTGGGGATTCATGAAGGACACACTGTACTAAAAAAAAAACTAGTACATTTAAGGAACTCAGATGTACCGCAAGGTTCAACTAGAAGCGACAATTTGGCATAATGTCAGCCAGATTGAATATCTTCAGCACTAAAAACAAAGTCTAAGGCTTGTACCCTTTAAAATGTGATATGTAACATTTTTGTAAGAAATATAGATTTTGTGTAGGATTTTAAAGGGCAGACAATACACAAGAATGTCTGTTGGAAAGGGGGGGGGGGTCTAAACCCAACTTTCTGCCAAGGGTAAGCGTAACAAAAATTTATTAATTTAAAATCTTAACTACAACCATAACACACAATATTTTATATCCTAAGATAGTGTAATTGCGTCATATTGTGAATATTCTAACAATTATTTATTTCAATCCGTCTTATCACAATATTTAAAATTTCTTATAATTAAGATAATAAAATATCATTGATGTTCCATATCGATTGATCGATTTACATTTTGGAACATCTTTTACACAACATGTTTCAGTTTTTATAAAACCATCTTCAGGTGTAAAAGATTTACGAACTTAAAACTCAAATATGATTCCATTTGGTGATGTTTCATGCCATTTGTTTTTCAATTTTGGGCGAGGTGTTGTCTTTTCTTAAATTTTATCAGATGTACATATCGGTCTGTAAGTAGAAGATTGATTCAATCGATATGGAACATCAATGATATTTTATTATCTTAATTATAAGAAATTTTAAATATTGTGATAAGACTGATTGAAATAAATAATTTTATATCCTGTTAAAATCTGATAATACATAAATACCACAATGTCAGGATTCTGATATCACTCAACATGATAAAACTTTTGTCTCGCAAGACAATCAGATTCACAAGTACAAACTTTTATCTTCCCTTGTCGCTATCCGGAAGTAACGGAGGAAAAACGTGTAAACTTCCCACACAACTCTGACTGAAGACTGCGAAATACAACACAGAACAATCAGACCGAATCTTCGTCACAATCTCGCGACACGCTAAGGAGGAGATGATTAAAAGAAGCCATAACCCTGCTGTGAACTGTTGAACGATACGTTCTTAGGGATTATCAACACGATTTCTTTTTGTTCTAGATTGAAAATGTTCGTCACTAGCTGGAAACTTATCCCCGCCCCTCAACCGCAATTGGGATTTTCTTGGCAAGTCGCTGATGGAATCTCTTTTAAAAGAACAAATTTTCTGCAGAAAATATTAACGTACATAAAATAAACAGGAAGGTTTGAAAACCACTGTGCATCATAAGAGTAAATAGCATAATGAAAAGATTTATAATTTATACTCCTTATCTAATATTATTATAGTAATCAAATCACGGAGTACGAGACGAAGATGAGAGAAACAACTTAGGTTAGGTTAGGTTAGGTTAGATTAGGTTAAGATTGAAGATTAATTCTAAAACGGATATCAAAGAAACAGGATGTAAATTTGTAGATTAAATTAATCTGGACAGGGACCAGTAACGAGATGCAAACACGGCAATAAGTTTTTCGAGTTTCATAAAATATTAAAAATCTCTTGATCAACCCAGTGACGAATTAGCTTCTCAAGAAGGACTTCGCTTCGTATAGAATGTCATAATTGAAAACTAGTACTTCCTGCATATATTACGTTCATGTTTGAACCATGGATAAAATATTTGAAACAGTCTAGATAGACTTAATTTATATGCAACCGGGTTATATTAATAACCAAACAAACCTACGTATCCCAAATTCAGTTTTGTTAAACAAAAAGTTTTAGAATTCGAAAGGCTATATAAATAAAGTAAGGACAAATATAAATATTCCAGCTCACACACGTCAAATCAATGTATTTTAGCAGGGGACTATTTAATTATTCCATACTGTTTATAAGCGATAAGAATAATTACTCGAAGTCTGCTCAAGTTCATCGCTTCATTTTACGATTCAACAACGTACAGGTTACGCACTATCGACATATAGATCGATAATAAACGAGATATCGCTGAGTCGAACTGCGCGCTCTCTAGTTGCCAAACACAAAGATGCGATTAGATATTTACGTAATTACACATTTTCTATTTATATACAACAAACTGGTCCAATGCTGTCCTCATTATAAAGAGGGATAATGCTGCAATGATAAGGCACCCCCCCCCCTCCTCACAGAGTTTTTGGGAATCTTTGTCTGTTCGTTGCGTATGGCCTAACCTTCTACAGCGCCAATACAAGAAACAGCAGCTGTGAAAACGTCTAGAAACACAAACAAGAGAGCAGATCCCTCTGCAGTCAGAAATTACAAACTCACCGTGACTGTTGATGAAGTTCGCCAGGTAGAGGTCTAGCTCTCGGACGGATACGTTGATGTGGTACGGGTTGACGCAGAGCCCAGGATGAGCACACTCAGGGGATTTCTCGAGGCGCTCACCATCTGTACTCTCGAGGGGAATCGCTTTGAATAAGATGACCATAACCAGGTCGAGACGCCACACCTAAAACCCCAAATTCTTAAATAAACAAACAGAAAATTCCACTGTAAACCGAATATTACAGACAGACACGACCTTTGGTGATTAAATATGTTAAAAATAATTTTAAAATAAACACTTTTTACTGAGATATGAGGTTTTCAGGGGGGGGGGGGCGAGTATGAAGATGGCTGTCTTCTGGGTTGTCCTATAGAAGTTTACCGACGTTTCAGAGGACCTTGCTGCCTCCATCATCAGGGCGATAATTATGGATGCAGCAAGGACCTCAGAACCGCCATTAAATTTTTACAAGGCAACACCGCGTAACAACCCAGAAGATAACCAACTTCAAAGGTAATTAGCCCCATACCAAATAACCATCCACGATCTTGCTAACAGAAATTGTTCGTTGAAGTTCATCCCTTAAGAGACGTCCCTCATTCTCAGAGTGCCACGACGGATGTAAACTCTGGGCTTGGATGCGGACAATCCGGTGAAAAGATCATTTACCAGTTCTCAGTATGTAACGTGCTTCAGCACTAAATACATCTACAATAAAGTGATGTTAAAATGTATCCTAGTTGCTCTTACTTCATTATAATTCTGAATTTTGATGCAAACCAGTTGTTCTACGAAGGAAATTACGCTGCGACAGAAAACAAATTAGAAAAAAAACCCTACTAGATTTAGATAACACTGCACGGTAAGCAAAGATTACTTGATTCAAATGCAATAAAAACCTGTCGGTCCTACTAATGCAATTATATCCAATTATGTGTCAATGCGGAATCACGGCAAGGAGATTCCACCAACAGCAAGATGTGACGTGTCGCCCTAATTAGATCCTGGTACATAAAATTCCCCTTACAAACATGTCGAAAAACTTGGTCAGAGAAAAAAAATAAACTTTCATTCCAAAAACGAGCACAAAAAACGAAATTCAATTCACTCCAAGATTAAAAGAGAACAAACAATATTAAAACAAAAATATCTGCACGTCTAGTCTTTGCAACAAGTTGGTACTACAAGCGTTGAATAACTAACTAACTCAGTAACTAACTCCCTGGTAACCTAACCAGCAGGTTCAAAACCGACAACACCAAAGCCCGCCACCGGCCACGATCCTGAGCCAACTTCATCCATTTGCCATACTCACAGCCCACCTCCCTAAGATCCATCTTAATATTATCCTCCCCTCTCCTTCTTGGTCTGCCCAGTGGTCGTTTTCCAGAAGGATTTCCCCAAATTCTGTATACAATGATCATCCGACATGTTGAATAAAGAGAAAAATACAATCCCTGAACCGAATAACTCGTTATGGCATATTTACATAATTTCGTTTAAAATACATTATATTTACGTGCTGGCACCTTGCATCTATCACATATAAGTAAAGAAATGTAATGA